CGTCTCCCTGCTCCGCGGGAAGCCTGCTTCTCCCTCTCCCACTCCCCCTGCTTGTGTTCCCTCTCTCGCTGTGTCTCTCTCTGTCAAAAAAATAAATAAAATCTTTAAAAAAAAAGAAGAGTCAGGCAAAGTGGAAGAGTTGGCTGGGGAGAAGGAATTTCAGGAAGAACTAACACTTGCCTAGAAGGTTCTAGAGCTTTAGAGCATGGGGATGCAGGAGCTTTGTAAGGCTGAAGGGAAAGGTGGTGGCTTATGGTGGGATAGTGGTCCAGAAAAGATGCTAGAAAGCTAGGCAAGAACATAAACACCTTGTACTTCATGCCAGGCATTTTAATATTATCCTGAAGTCATGGTACTATAGATGGATTTTGAGGAAGGCAGCAATGGGATTGGGTCTTCATTTGGGAGGTCACCCCAGCAGCAAGGTAGGGAATGTCAGCTAGAGGGATAGATAACGGGGGCGGGGAGGCTGAGGGCTCTGCCTGGATGTCATGAAGGCCTAGCCTCAGCCTCGTGTGGAAGTTGGTCTTCGGGGGTGTGCTGTGTTTTCTGGGGGAGCTGCAGTTGTATAAGAGGCCACCCCAGCCAAAGGCCCTTCCACAAGAGGCAGGTCTGTAAGGGAAGGCAGGGCAGCCTGCAAGCTCCTCAGAGCCTCAGCCGGACCCCAGTGAATAAAGGTCTTTGGTTGTAAGCACCCTGCTTTCACCTGCTAGGCCTACCCCTGAGGCACAGTCTGGGCTAAGTTAAAAGGGCAGGGGCAGTCCGGGCTAATCCAGTAACGTGTCTCAGACCACCTCTCTTCCTGCACAGGGTTCCCGGGTCTCACTTGTGGGGGAGACCCCCATTCTGCTTCATCTTGTGACCTCTGCTGTGTTTGGGAGGCTCTTTCCCTCCAAAGTCCTACATCCCCCTCACCGGGGTCAGGGTTGTGGTAGAAGGCCCCCATACAGAGCTGGACAGCAGTCCCCAGGGCCAAGTCTTCTTGATGTTAATGAAAATTTCCTTATAGGGGTGCCTGGGTGGCTCAGTCGTTGAGCCTCTGCCTTCGGCTCAGGTCATGATCCCAGGGTCATGGGATCGAGCCCCACATTGGGCTCCCTGCTCAGTGGGGACTCTGCTTCTCTATGCCCTTCTCCCTCTGTCCCTCTCCCCACTCGTGCTCTCTCTCTCTCAAATAAATAAAATCTTAAAAAAAAAAAAGGAAATTACCTTATACATAAATTTTTTAAATTGTACACATTGTACACCTTAAACTTACACAGTGTTATGTGTTAATAAAGCAAAGCTGGAAAAATAAATAATATTTTTAAATGTATATATGCGTTTCTCCTACTTTATTAAGTCACACACTCCTTTTGCGGTATCGAGCCCCACATCGGGCTCCCTGCTCGGCCGGGAAGCCTGCTTCTCCCTCTCCCACTCCCCCTGCTTGTGTTCCCTCTCTCTCTGTGTCTCTCTCTGTCAAATAAATAAATAAAAT